CGAATTTATCCCCTGTTAGCCTAAAAGAAAGTTTAATAAAAAACGGTTTCTTTTTTATCAGTTGTGTAATTTATTATACACGCAAGGAGAACAAAGTAAATATAACATAAAATACATATATTATTTAACGAATTGAATTTTGAGCAAGTAGTCACTATACTAAAGTATATCGCATCTGTCAACTGACAATTGTTGTCAACCGTATCGAGAAAACATCTCTCATCTACTTAACGATGGCTGTAAGTGATGAAATTAACTTACAAATCGATGTTAGATATTTTAAACATAATGGTCAAAGATAATAAGTTCTAAGAAACTTGTTATACATTAAACAGCATTTAAAAATCTCTTGAAGCGAGTAAATGTCGACACATGTCATACTAATAAGTACATTTAACCGAATGCCCTTCTACTAGTACACTGGGGGTAAACATGATTTAAATACATTTTCGGTCAAGCGACATCGCTAAACAGGAGATCTCATTAATTCCTTTTGACATATTTGGGTTATCTGTCTGTAACTAATTAATCATCAGTATCTGCTATCTAATAGTAATGGGCGGCATTTATCTGATAGCTCACTGCAACTTTGACCAAGTCTTCAGTTTATTTAGCAAGGAGACATATAAAACGATTTCTGGTTCTTGGTCACCATGATACCTTTTACCCCAGTGTCCATTTGTTCTTCAAGCGGTAGGTCATTTTTCTATTTTAACTTTTTAACTTAATAGTAAGAGATGTATACGAGTCGACGGGTTCTTTCGTGAATCACAACGCGTAGTACAGTGACAAAGCGTACTCTTGCTCGCTCGCTAAGCTACTTCATCCTTTGTTTTAAGGTTTATACACAGGAACTACATTGCAGTCTTGTAGATCGCTATTTTTAACACTAAAATTATTTACATATGCAGTTTTCCAAATAACCTTAAAGATAGTCTATATTAGAGCAAATATGTATATCTTTTTAAAGTGACAGCTACACTATTCATCCCCTCGCCTAAAATTAGAGTTTGGATAAATTTGATATCGACCAATATTGTACTACATTATTAAAGTGTACAATGAATAGTCCTTTGGTTATATAATAATAATAATCGGATTAGTAATACATACAGTGTAAGGAACTTTACAGATATACATGAAGAGGATACAAAGAACAACCAGACTCAGAACAACAATTCGTAGCTCACACAATGCATTGTCCCATGTACGAATCGAACCCACAATACTCAGCGCAGTAGGAAGTAAAGTTTAAGCGGTCACCTCTCGTGACCGCTTAAACCGATACGCCACCCGTGCAGTAATTTATCTACGGTGTAACGAATACCGAAACAATGTATTCAGACGCTGAGTCGAAAATCATTGGAATTTCAGAGTGGTGGTCTGAATACACTATTTCAGTATTCGTTACACCGTCCTTTACACCCTGTATATATCTAAATACTGAGGACATCTTTTCAGAAACTGAAAGCCTTCAAGCCTGTTAGCCGTTTTGTAATGGATGGATGGTTGAAATAATATATCCAGAAATAATCCAGTAAATTAATAACTCGTTTCCGACCTCATTAAAATGGTTAAACTTAAAAGTGTATTCAAAACGAGACATAATTTTTTTTATTTATTTATCTATCACAAACACATCACACACAATCCTTACAGGCAATTAGCTATTAGCAAAACGGTTGTGGGGGCTGAAAACTAACATTAAACTAATTTAATGCACTATAATCTTAGCATAACTGAACTAGAATTAAAAATGAAGAAAAGAAAATAATCACAAGAGCAATAAAAGTTAACTTTAAAAGGTATTTATTATGTCATCATCAACAGCCTTTTATTATAAATATATATTATATATATTATCTTTGTTTACCATTTAAAACATAAATCGCTTCAATATTAAATTCTTCTTCAATATCAGCTTGAAGCACTGAAAATTTAATCTATTCAATAAAAAATCCTAAAACTTAATTCAACATCAAACAAGTTTTTCAACTAAGTCAACATAATATAAAGTTCTAACTTTCAAGACTTTATAATAATAATAATATATTGCGTATAATGCCTTTACTTATTTACAATACACATACGTAGGCTGTTCCAAAAATTATTACTGGATTAAAAAATGGGTTGGATTTAATAAAAGTTTATAGCTTTTCAAAATATTACTTTCTAATCCCAATGCATTTGTGCATTCGGGTGAACCAGTTTCTTAACAGTTGAAAATGTATCTTGCAAAAAATAACCACCAAAATTGATTGATGTTAGATTTTCGCAAACGCATGGAGCAATTTTTTCATTTATTTTTCTAGCAACTGCGTGAGCTGGCGCGTTATCTTGGTGAAATAGAATGCTACGGACAACGTTAGTGGTCGTTCGCCATTCAACACCCGGAAAGGTTGAAGAAGATAAACTTCGCAATTCGCATTCGGAATTACTGCTACTGGTCTATTGCGTACAAAATTTTTTTTTTTTTTTATAGCGACAACGTTTGTAGAAGTCATCTTCTTCAAACACTCATTACGTGGATCGTTACTACATGAGAGAATCGTACCTGTAGATCCAAGTTGCGTCAGTTGTAAGGATATAGGATACGTTTTGTGAAGAACATTTCTAGTATAATTTTGCACCAATCAATACGACGAATTTGCCTGAAACTTTCGATGTGCAATGTGTCTGGGGTATCCATCATTAACCAATAAGTTAGTATTGCTAACGCAGGAGTAGATTTCCCCAAAGGCAGCTTGTAAGTTTTCGTGAGATTCCTTGAAGGTATCATATTATATGATCATAAAAAAATCATAGCGCGAAAAGCTTCCCACGAGACGTTCATTGTTGCAAAAAAAAAGAGTGACAGATTTACTTTTTTAAACTAAAAAAAGAGAAATAAACATATATGATGTGGTCAATAATCTTTAGCAAAGAGATTTGTATTAATTAGCCGTCAATGCCAAATAGTTAAAAAAAATTGTACGAGTATTGACTTTGTTCTTTAGCTAACAATTTTCGGAACAACCCAGGTTTTTATTTGGTGACCGTTCCGTAATATACCATCTGAGGCCGAAAAGTATATATTATTAAAAAGTATTAATAATTCAGTTATCATAGATATAACAGGTACTTATTAAAATTAGGTAAACTGCATGTTCCAGCCATAAATCAAATATAATGCAAGCATAATCACGCATTTTAAAGATGTATAAGCAAGGAATCTACCGTGGCTTAAATCTTCTACACGAACACGAAAAGCTATAGAATATAAAGTAATAGTTTTACCACAGACTAGCAAAGCTGCCCTCGAGGGAGATAGTAAAAAATATGATAATATCAGAGTCTGGTCGTTATCTCACACGAGTGGTAAGCTTCAACTGTGAGAAATGGTTTATCTGCACATCTTTAAGTGAAGCGTCGTCGCAATTTGCAGCACGGGACTTTTACCCACGTAAGCGAGTCGATTTTATTTTTTGTTATTCCAATGACAGCACCGTAGAAGAACTTATCTTTAAATTGAGTGCAAGTAAAGGCTCAAGAAAGTTAGAAAACTACTGTTGACGTTGAAAGAATCTTTTTAATTTTTATATGACTTATTTCTCAAACGATTATTTACACCTGCTTTCACAATAAAGTCGAAAAATTGTGTGTGTATAAATTTGCTATAAAATTTAGTATTTAGGTAGTTGACAACCTGGATAACAATAGGCTACTTTTATTTTAAATAAATGTAGTGTTCCGTGGGATGAGCAAGGAATTAAAATATATTTGCTACTCTTTCAAACCGCTGGTAACACCGCGGTGTACAGCTAGTCTAGATCATAAAATATTTCATAAAATTTAATATTCGTGCGATACTAAAAATCAAAGTCTCCAGAGTAGAATACATAACTTTCAAAATAAAGAATGATATTTGAAAAAAAAACAGAAAAGTTTATCATACTTATTAAGTAATTCATTCCATTCAAAAATATTTTTTATACTGGCTGAAATATTATTATCTTATATACTCGTATATCCTCTAGTTAAGATAAGAAGAAAGAGTATAACATTATACAGAAACTTACTAAGTTCGCAATGCAATTTATAAAATAGAAAGAAAGTTATGGAGAAGTCCTGAGTTTCTTTTGCTCAAGATTGTGTTCTGAATATTTTGCTCAAAGAAAAGCTATAGACAATATCAGAATAAGAAATAGGGAAGTTTGCATTTACTATCACAAAGTATGCAAATTGACCTAAAAGTAGAACTATGTATTTATATAAAGTTTCACACTTTCAGTAAAAATAAGACAGCAAATTGAATATCGATTATGGCACAGACTTCTATGTGATTTCCATAATAAAATTAAAAAAGAAACAGCTTGTATTTTTAAGGCTCAATTTGCTTTTAGCGACCCGCACCCGGGCCAGAATAAATATTTTAAAGGTCCTTCCGATAAAAGATACTGAAATGATTTCGTTGACGTCTTTTTTTTTGTTTTTCTCGCTGTTACATTAAAGAAAAGGGTGATTTTGCAGCACTCCAATTTCTAAAACATTAATTTAAAATTCAGTTTTCAATCTCGTAAATTGCTAAGCAAAAATATTTGTGTTTCATATCATTATATGTTTTTACTTGTTACACTCAGTGGTAGCAGTGCTGGCTCTGACGCAAAAATGTTCATATTTATGGACACAATCTAACTTATTCAAAGGAGTTTAATCTTGTTTATTTCTGTACTGGATGATAACATCTGTTTCTTTATGATGCCGCTGAAAGATGAATATCATTAGTCCTTTTATATTACCTTACTCTTGGTTCTTCATGAATAAATTGTTGGTAAAACATTGCTCCTAAATTGAATATAATAGTGCTTAAATTTTTGCATCTGCTAGGGCCTCGTAATATTTCATAACCGAGGGCCTCGAATCTAGGTTAATTAAAATTTTAAATACCATTAACGTTTCTTTTACCACATAATAGACAATTATCAGAAAAATAGTGAAGTCACATAATATTTAAATATTACCTTTAATAAGTAAACTGAGCACGACTGCCAATAAGACAGACATCCTCATTGAGTTTTTAAACAAACAGTTCCATCACATATCACAAAGATTTATTATTCCTCTTGTGCTTGCACTTTACTCACACACAGTTTTAATTAACATTTCAATTGGAGAGTTCAGTCAAGTAGGCGAGTTATGACGAAGCTAACGTAATATTTGGGACGCGGCGCGACACGTACGACCTGCTTCGCCGGCGGCTGTCACACAACTAAAGAATTTCCTCGCTTGTTCGGACGCGTTCGTAGTCGCTCGCCCCTCGCCCAACTGGGGTCACCGCTTACAATTTTCGTGACCTTATGGGGCAAGTCGATAATCGCTTTTACTAATAAATATTACTAATAGATTTAGTAACTTGAGAACATGTTCAACGAGGTTTCAGTGGTGCCAGTTTTCTGGAATTTGGGTTGTTTGATCTATACTATAAAATTAATTTGACCTTTGATAAATTAAACTTTGCATAGAACTACTGTTCCTATTTAAATAGTAATGAATTCTTGGCTTATGGCTGAGAATTCATTACTATTTAAATAGGACTGTAACTTTCTCTATATTATAACTAGTAGTTTAACAATTCTTTCATTATTCGAAAAATTCGAGACAGTGATATCTACGCTCTAATTACAATGTAGAAGCGTAAATACAGATGTATAAGACTCTGAACAATGATACTGTTCGAATTTCGAGATCGGAGTGCAGCACTTCTTTATTTATTGATACGCCTCAAACAACTTTTATGAAGATGCTGTTTCGTCTCATTTGAACATTAGTCTAAAAACAACAGTGTTAACGGTATTTGTACGTTATTCATGGAAGAAAATCATCATTACGATAAAGTACGTTTACTCCGGCAAGGTCAACATGCAATTACATAAAATGTGGTAAATTACATCTACTTTAGCCTTGGACGTAAGAATCCTATTACTTTGTATTTCTAATAACAATATAAAACAAATTGGATGGAATATCGGACACCTAAACTTTAGCTCTGCACACAAAACGAGACCGAAGGATGAAATAGGTACGTAGGAGGACAATAGATTGGCTAACAAGTTTTTATTCAAAATAAACATTATTTTTTGCCGAGGAATATATCTTTAGTATTCATCTATTCGAAGTTACTTTAGAATGGCAGAGAGATTTAGTAGCAATAAGGCCAATCTTTCTCACATATTTTTCATATTTCTTGTAGTAAATTTCACAAGGGTAGAACATTATAAAGGTGAATCCACTTATGTGAACGTTAGGGGAAAATATATATTTTATTCGAAGTTTTTTTTATGCATAGGAGCAAACAAATAGACGGGTCCCCTGATGTTAAGTGACTATCGACACCTGTTGACAACAGCAACTTACAAATGCATTGCCGGTCTTTGACTGACCCCGCCAGAATTTTGTGGTGGGGAGAGGTCGGTATTCTGGTACCCTCACTCACTTGGTGAAAGATGTTCCTTCGTGATCATCTCAGTAATTATTTACAGACAAAATTATTTACTCGCAGCTTTAGAACTACACTATTTATCCGGCCGGTGTTGATAAAAGTTATCAATGGCTGAGGGGCAGTCTACGCGAGACCTTGTTCACATCTAAGTTTTGTCCTAAAACTTTTTTCAAAACATTATTTGGGTTTGACAAGTGTCCTTGAAATGATTTTATGGCCATGTTTACTAGTTTGATATTATTTATTCATTTGAATCTTTTGCCATAATTTTGGGGACAATTAAGTTTTCTAAACCGATCTTTTCATTTTCTAAATCGTATAATATTACTAAAGTAAGATATCATTAGTTGCCACTTATTAGGAAGAACACGACATTTTTCCTCGTACGGATAGGTCGTAACACTTTATCGTTATTGTACGACCATATTCAAGAATGAAGTAGCATCATAAAATCATAAACACCTCCTGGTTTCGCGTTATCTTCTACAAATTCCTTGGGGTTGCGTTCAATCGCCGATTATGAATTTCGTGTTCGATACGTGAGCTGTTTCTGTGATCCCCTGTTGTTATTAAGTCAGATCTATTGAGAACTCGAATCCGAAGAATCCGAACATTGTTCTGAAAATGTGTCTACTGTATTATTATGTTTTGTACTTCCTTTGTTTTTGAAATTATAGAAGACAGGGAAGACTGATCTAAGAGTTTAGATATATCATCGTGTTGTTTGATATTTATGAAGAAAATTATTCAATTTCTAAGCTTCATTTTGCCTCGTTTTGCATTTTGTTTAGTTTTGTTTTTCTGAAGTATTTTATTAGTAGTGTATGGGTCATGTGGAAATAATTACATTGCCGTTTTTTCTTAAGTAAGAAAAGTAAGAAACGTACTATTAACAAGTATTTGAATATCTAGATGTCTAATAAATCCACCTATGATAGAACGTTTAGTTTTATCAGTTCAGTTCGTTTCCACCATACATCTTAACTATTATTTCCGGAAAGATGACGATACTTAGAGGTTTCAGCACCATAGAAAAATGTCTGATAGTTCATGGTGCTTCTAGTTGCATAGTTCTCATTCATCACCGTAATCATCTCTGCTCTACTTGTTTAAAAACACAAATAACCACAATTTCCTTAAAAATCTAAAAATAGATAATGAGAGCGGCATCACTTACCGATTCTTCACTCATTTTTTTATTTTCACAGTTACGCTCACACTTCAAATAAACATTACATTATATTCAAGAAGCCTCCATTGTTTCTTCTGTTTATAACGTGACATTGATTTACAAGATAATTGCCGCTTTATTTCTGTGATAGACTTTGAAAATTTTCTCCCGCTAAATTGTTGCAATGCAGCTCGCCGTAATGGGCGAAGGGGCACGTCGCTTCTTTGGGTATTACCGGGTGACAACCGGGCACAGGCGGCGTACTCCCAACGCTTTATCACTTAATTTGAATCGTGTCTTGAATTTAGAACACAGGCTGTTCTTAGAATTCGAAAATTGTTAATCTGTTCTGTCTGGATATTCCAATTCCAATCCGAGTCGAAATAAATGAACCTCTCAAATAAATTTAATAGTCAGCTTTCTTTCACAATCGTCAGGTCAAATAAATTCCCAATGAGATGTTATCAGATAAATTCTAAATAAAATGTACGTCGTTCGTAATTTATCTACTGAATTTATCATCCTTTTGAAAAAAAATCTCTTTTATTACAAATCTTATTAAAATTCACCTGGAAAAATGAAAGTCAAATGCAAATGCGGTACCAGACCGAGCAGTTTTTATTATTCAATCATCAAAATGAGCTCTAACAGTAAATCATAAAATGAAAACGTGCATAAGAAACGAAGTTACGATATCCCTGAGGTAAGCATGCGAGGGATCGTTTACAAATTGTTAGTAGACCAACATTATGATCTATAGTGCGTTCGATTCCAAAGGACACATATTTTTATCCCCATTTCTTTTTATAAAGTGTATTATTACCTACGTGCTTTGTATTTTAAAATGCTCATAAAAATTCATGGACTCAGGTATTTGAGCATAAGACGAAATGAAATACTTAAAATGGTAGTGTAAAAACGAGGGCCTACGTTTTATGTTTGAAAATGATATACGCAAAAGTGAGGGCACCATATTTTTAGTGGGTACGTCGGTAAAATGACAACATTCACCTCCCTCTAAATCAAACATGCATAAATCCAGGCCTCTCCCTTTACGCTATTATGTCAACCGAAGCGATTTATGATCGCATCTAAGAGATTTTCACAAGGGAGAATATCGCCAAGTAAATAGTATTGAGCGTAACTCAAGAATATATCTGCTTGTGCGTTATCACAGAGGCGAATTGCGATCGAAGCGTTTGCCAGCCTTTTATTTTCATTTGATCATCTTTGTTATTCGAACAATATATTTTATATGATTTGAAATATAAATCATACTTATGTTCGTTGTTTAACCGTATTCGATTTAAATGAATTCTGAGATGTTTAATAATTGTATAGTGTAATTTAGATTTAGGCTATTTTATCGACATTGGCAGTAAATATTATGATTAGATTATTGTTATTTTGTTTGAAAACTTCAAAGGGGTACACCCATTTTTCTTAGTTTTGTTTCTTTTTATGTCAAAATACAGATAAAGTGGCGGTAGGTGATACGAGTAATTTGTAATCCAAGTGCTGTGTCAAATTATAACGACAATTTATAGGGCGGTCATAAGAACTGTCGTCTTCTATGGATTTGAAAGTTGCTAACGAAGACAATGGATAAGAGATGCCTGCACATATCCTGCCTGCATATCCTGCCTGAAATTCAAACGTTCTATTCATCTTGGATGTGTGATATGACTAGGGTGAATACAGTGAGAAATGAATACATAAGAGGAAACCTAAATGTAAACGAGGAAAGCTAAAGAAAGAGAAAGCAGTGAACTAAAAAGTGACAAACAAGCATGGAAGATGAAAACTCATTAGTCTGAATTTGGGAAAAGGGAAGATGGTGATGATTTTGGTTTTAGTTTTATTTTATGTGTGTACGTAACAAATGCCTGTCAAATATTTCAATGATACAATGTTGTCCACATTCAAAAGTTAAAACTGTCGGTAAAATAAAAACTACACTAATAGTGGAGTAGGTGGACTACGTTCGCCAAAAAGAAATAATATATTTAACAACACTGTCGGAGAGAAAAGCTTCAACTCAAACGGACGGATAGAAAACCGGTGTTTCAATTATTGTTTTTTTTTTGGTCCTGGTGGTAAACGAGCATACAGGGTACGTGATAGAAAGTGATTACCGCTGCCCATGAACGCCTGCAAGTCAGAAGTCACAAGCATGTTGCCAACCTTTGAGGTGGGACTACGCTCTTTGTCTTCTGTTTCCATTTGTTTATGTACCGATTTTTTTTTCTGATGATTCAAATGTTTTCTATTTTTTGCCGAGAGACAGATGGCCGGAGCTCAATTTATACCTACTTTATTATTTGAAGTCTAGATTTTGGTGCCATAAATTACTACCTTAAAGCAGGGAAGCGCATTTTTTGTGTATAACACATA